GCACAGGGATTGCGAAGAAGTGGAGAGGGACGGGGAATGCTGCCCGGACTACCGCTGTAGCAGGTGAGAGGGACGGGGAATGCTGCCCGGCCGCTGTGGCAGGTGAGAGGGAAAGGGAGGGAGGGAAGGGGAGGGGGGGGAAGGTGGAATAGGGGGTATGGGAGGGAGGGAGGAGGAGGGAAGAAGAACTTTAGGGAGGAAAAGGTATAGAGGGAAGGGGAGGGAGAGAAGACGGATAGGAGAGGTGGAGAGGAGGGGAAGGAAGGAGGTAAGGAGAGTATGGGAGGGAAGGAGCGAAAAGGAAGGGGGGGGGGGAGAAAGAGTAAAGGAAGGGAGAGAGGAAGGAGATGGGGGAAAAAAGAGCGATAGGAGCCTGGTCAGCGCCTGAGGGTTCCCGAGTTGACATGTCGTTGGGGGGAAGGGGGGGGGGGTGCAGAAAGTGAGTGACCTAGGATCCTAGCGACGGTTCCTCTTTATTTGACCCATCATAGCGGAGGCGGCTGTTACGGTGGGAGCTTGGCTTGGATTTATAGCATATATAGCATGCTATACATACATACACACAGACGCATATGTACGCCATCGCATAATTCGTGTGCCTTTGCACGTATACATACATATCTACATGTCTCTCCTTTCCCTCCCGCGCAGCACGACCTGCCAGGTTGACGGTCGCTACTACGGCGTTCTGGCAGACGAAGGACTTGCCAGACCTGCCGCTGCCCCGGAGGTTGCCAGGTGCAAGGGCGACCCATAGAGTGCGAGGAGCCGGAGGTTTGCAGGTCGCCGCCAGCCCCCCTGCAGGCCGATCGCCTCCGCCAGGGAGTGCTGTCCCGTCGGATGGGATTGCTCGGAGTGAGTGGGGGGGGGGGGGGCGTGCCTGTTCTTGGCTCAGGCTCTCTGTTGCGGTTCTCTTCACCTTTCCAGTTCCTGTTCGTTATTATAATTTTTTTTTTACCTTTTTCTTCTCTCTCTGTTAGTCTTGCTTTTTTTCATACTTTATATTGCTGGTGTTCTTTGTCTCTTTCGTATTGCCTTCTTGCTTTCCTTCTTCTTCGTCTTGAGTTCTTTCTCTTGTTCTTTTCTAGTCCTTCTGTTTCTTCCTTGTTCTTATTGCTCTCCTTTTGTTCGCTATTAGCGTTCTCCTCTCCTTTCATCCACTGAATCTTTTCCTTTCCTTTATAACAATATATGAAGTGATAATAATAATAATAATAATAATAATAAATCAGATTCGTGCTATATGAACTATATAAAGAAAGAGTGCTGGTTTGTATGTATGTGTATGTGTATGCTTGCCGACGTATGCGTGTGTTTGTGTCTGCGCATGTATCCAACAGCATGGATGTGTATGTATGCGTGCCAATACGTATTCAGATGAAGGAAGCCACGCCCTAACCAACCGGATGGCCCCTTCTCCCTTCTCTCTTCCAGCTCGTACTTGATCACGGTGCCCAAGGTGTTCGTGCGGGGAGGCCAGTCGACCGTGTGTGTTTCCTCGAGGACGACCCGCCTATCTCGGTCAACCTCACTTTGACGATGATGGTCGAGAAGGACGAGGTTCACGTCACGGTTGTCGAGACAGGTTCGTTGCTCTGGTTGCACGCTAGTACACACACACACACACACACACACACACACACACACACACACACACACACACACACACACACACACACACACACACACACACACACACACACACACATACACACACACACACACACACACACACACACACACACACACACACACACACACACACACACACACACACACACACACACACACACAAGATAAGCACATGGACACGGATACAAACGCACACACACATACAAACAGGAAGCACATGGACAAACCCACACACGCAATTGTTTTATCACAAATACATAGACTTAATATTCAAGCATAAACACATCTATCAACGTCTCCATAAAGAAAGGTAACGCATGGTTAAAATTAGAAATTACATATAGATTACAATTCTTAATGGTTTATGGAGAGCTTGTCAATTTGAAGCAGATTTATATTTCTTTGATAATATTCCAGTAAATCCTAATATATCAGTATGTGTGTTTGTTACCACAGAAGATAATAAGAAATGCAAACATATAACCTTTTTCCCAAGCATTTTCTTTGACAAATTCGCTCTAATTTGGATCAGTGCTCTTAGGTGAGGCTGCATCAGACATTTTCATTGTTATTGGTCATTATTTATCTTTGATATCATTACCATTACTTTTCTTGCCGCTGTAAAGATGAATAGCACTTTATCTGTATCATTATCATCATATTTCATATCACTGTCACCATTATCATCATCTCACTTCTATCAGAAATTTTCTTTCCATTGCTAATATTGCTGTATCATTATCATCATACTCCTTATCATTAACACTATATCCCTATCAATAATATCATCATTTTTTTCTTGTTATCATTACCGTTTCAGTATCCCTGCTATCAGTACCATCATACTGCTTATCCTTATCACTATTGCTTTCTGATCCACATCATCATTTCACCTTCTCTATTCTCACCTCAGTGTCGACCAATCGCGTGTGTGTGGACTTCCCCGTGCCTGACGGCGGCGACACCTCAGCCGCCCTTCTCATCGAGGGGGGCATCGGCGAGGTCCTCGTGTCTAAGGAGCTGAGGATCAGCCTCGTCTCCGTCGGCAGGACTTTCGTGCAGACGGACAAGTACCTGTACGAGGAGGGGCAGTCGGTGAAGTTCCGCGTGCTGAGCGTCGAGGGCGAGAGGGCCGCCATCTCCTACGAGGACCTGGACGAGGTGTGGGTAACCTCGCCGACGGAGACGCGGCTGGTGCAGTGGCTCAACGTCAGCAACAGCCGCGGCCTCGTGCAGCTCGAGTTCCCGCTGGCCGAGCACGTGCAGGAGGTCAGTGTTATGGGGCGCGGGGTTCAGGCGGTTCAGCTCTGCTCATTCCGTCATGCATGGAGCGGCGGAGGGTCGAGTCCTTTTCAGGGAGGGATTTTGCTATGAATGCATATTTTCATCAACCATTCAGCTCTTCATACACTATTTCATCAGTTATACAAAGGACCAATCAAAGCGTTTGATACCCAGTCCCAGTATAGAATACCCCGTTTCTGCCTATCCCAGTTCTGGCTGCCCGGCTTTGGTCTTTCCCAGTGCAAGGGACTCCGGCACGCCCCATCCCAGTACAGGAAACCCAGAGTGTGCTGGGAAGCAAACGCTTTGAGAAACTAGTTATCGCATCATAGTTACAATACTGAATATTATGCATTTGCAACTTTCATATATTATACCCAACTATCTATAAGCATTCAGATTTCACGACAATCTTGTTCTCATTTATCAGGCGGGTTTTAGGCTTTGTTCAACTCAGTCATACACATTTTTAAGTATCTTTTCATGACATATTTTTTTCAACAGTCATAAATATCTTTAGTTATTTATTCACGAATCATACATCTCATCAATAAACATCTTTTCTCGGCCATAAACCTTTCAATCAGTCATCTCTTCTCAATCAAACATCTTCACTGTCATATATTTTTTAATCAAACATCTTTTCAAATGTCTTTTCATCAATCATACATTTTTTATTAGCAGTAATACATCCTATACATATTTTCATCAAACATACGTCCTTTCATACGCTTCACTTCTTTATCTTTTATATCAATCATACATCATTTCGTGCATCATTTCATCAACCAAACATGATTCCATCCATCACCAATCATGTACGTTTTCAAACATCTTTTCCTCTGTTTACACATCCCCAGGGAGCGTACACAATCCACGTGAGAACTGGAGGACGTGTTACAGCCCAGGACTTCAAGGTCGAGCCATACGTACTACCGAGATTCGAGGTCACTCTCAACCTTCCACCTTACACGCTTGTCTCCCAGACCCTGATCACGGTCGAAGTCTGTGCTGAGTAAGTGGAGTGTGTTGTTGTTGTTGTTGTTGGTGTTGTTATTATCATTGTTATATAATAATATCATTATTATGATAATCATAACAATAGTATTGATAATAATGATACTAATACTCATTAATAGTGTTATAATTATTGTTATTGTTATTTTTATCATCCTTATATCACTGCTATTGCTATTACTACTACTGCTTCTACTACAACTACCACTTCTACTACTACTGCTACTATTACTGTTGCTAGTGCCACTAATAGTACAACTACCACTATTATCATTGTTATTATTACTGATATTAATATCATTATCATAATGTTTTATTTTTTTTATAGCATTATTATATTGATATTGTTTTTACCATTACTATTACTATTCCAGTTATTATTATTATCATGGTCATGACATGATTTTTATTCCTATAATCACTACTACTACTACTAATAATAATAATGATTCCATACAACAATACTGATAATATTGATAGTTATCATAACAGTAATAGTAATAATAATATTAGCAGTGATAATAATAATTATCATACTATTGATGATAATAATAATTATAGTAGTAGTAATAATGATGATAACGATGATAAAGATCAAAATCATATTAATGATAATATTATTAATATCATTATTATCATTATCATTATCATTACTATGAACATCATTACCATTACTATTATTTTTGTCATCATGACCGTTATTACAATTTTCATCATAATTATGATTTCTATTATGATTATTATCATAACTATTCGTTACGGGGCTCATTATGCATGAGCTTATTTCGAAACGATCTTTTCAAATATAAAGCTGATGCTACAAAATTTTCTTGCTTTTACTCTACAAGTAAAACAATACATATAGAATTCCATATAGAATTCCAATTATATATATCTTCCCCATACATTTACACGTAGGGGAATCTCAGTTTATTACAACACGCACCAAGCCCTTGTTACCTCTTCTATAAAGCTCTCCTGTTACGAGAACTTTATCGCAATTTTACCAGTTGCTATATGCTGCATGTGTCTTTTTTACATACTGTGTGCAAGAACAACCCTCTCCGTATCCTAAGCTCATATTACTGGATCGATCTTTTTGTTTTTCACACACAACATATATTATTGTTGCGAATATTACAAGATCTTTCTTTTTACAGTTACACGTATGGGCAACCCGTAACAGGCAGCGGCAGTCTCTTTGTGAAGAAGAACAGGTACTATTATTTCGAAGATACAAAGGACGACGTTCTTACCATCCCAATCCCGGTACATAGTCTATGGTTATTGCTTCTGATATTGGTAATGACGATAACATTGATTATAATGGAGATCACAACTCTGACCAACTTCAGTCCTTGGTAACTGGTTCCATACTGCGGAAGGAAGTGTATAGTCCATATCATTTTTTTTCTTTTTACAGTTTTGTATTACTATTGAATGAATCTAGAATATTGCATTCTTTCATGCAATTAGAAAGAGTTAAAAATGATTTGATTTTCTATGTTTTTTTTATGTTTGCCTATCATTTTATCTGCTTGCTAAGGAATTATCTATGATCTACTTTATTTCTTCATCCCTTCTTTTTCTCTCTTTTCATTTTCTTCCTAAGAATGAACCGGGAGTTGTTTGTCTATTTACATGTAAAATTGTGTATTTACATTTATTTGATTTAGGTTATCTATTTATTGGTATCTATCAGGATAAGTGTGAGTAGGTAATCTTATGCTTTATTATCAATGCAATTATCCAACAGTCTCTTAATAAAAAGACATGCCTGTCAGTCTATCAATATCAGATGGCTTATGTCATTTCCCTATTTATCAGTATCAACATATTTTATCTATCAGTATCATTCGGTACGTACCTACTTCTCATGAACGATCTGTCAGTATCCTTGTATTTAGGCTGTTTATCCCCCGCCTCGCCCTTGCTCTCCCCGCCTTTCCTGCTCCCCCTCGAGCGCCCCTTCAGAGAGCTCCTCCTCCGCCCGCAGACCTTCAGCGGTTGCACGGACGTCGAGGTGGACACCGGCCTCATCGACACGGTGGGTTACGGCTTCATAGGGGTTCTTGCCCTGACAGCTGACATCACCGAGGAAGGCACCGGACTCATGGCCTCAGGCGCCGCGACCCTCGAGCTGGCCTCCCAACGCCTCTCCTTCGCGTGGATTAGCCGAGGGAAGGATGCCAAGCCGGGCTTGCCCCTCGAGATGCAGGTTGGCCCTGGCGGTTGCGCTCTCGCTTGCGCTCGCTCTCTCGCGTGGATCTGTTTGTAGAAATGATTTGCGTGTGAATGTGTATATGAATATAGTACTTGTCAATGTTTACGTGTACACACACACACACACACCTATACATATATACTTATATAAATATATATATATAATATTATATATATATATATATACATATATATCACACGTCTAATTAAGTTTATATATGTGTATATATACATATATGTATATATGTATGAGTATACACACACACAAACACACAATATATATGTTATATATATATATATATATATATTATATATATTAGTGTATATATATGAATATATATATTAGTGTATATGTATGAATATATATGTATATATATATGTATGTGTATGTTTTATATATATATATATATATATATACATAATACACATACATATATATAAAATAGATATAGATATATACATGTATATATATTTATATATCTATATACACATATAAATGTATGTGTGTATATATATACTTATGTGTTGATGCATTCACCTCTGTCATTATTATTATCATCATTGCATCTATTATCATCATTTACATCAATATTATCATTATTTATTATCATTATTATTGTTATTTCATTATCATTATTATTGTTATCATTATTATCATCATTATTATTATCGTAATCATTATCATTATGACTATTATTATTATAATCATTATATCATTATTACTTTTTCACATTATTCTACTATCACCGTCATCACATAATAACAAATATGGAATCACAACAGATTCAGGCGAGGTTCCCAGACCAATCAGGAGCCCCAGACGTCGAGGTAACAGCCTGTGTCGAAACCGCGTGTAAAGACTTCGTGACTGACGAGCACGGTGTCTTCTCGGTGGTCGTGCCTCCCCACCTCGTGAAACCTTACGGCAATCTCAAGGTTATTATCATTGTCATTATTGTCATCATCATGATTATCATTATTAGTTTTATCATTACTACCATTTTTATCATTTTTATCATTACTACCATTTTTATCATATATCATAACGACATTATCAAATGTCGATAATTATCGACATAAAGCTTTTCATTGCGTCTATAAAGTAATGATAATTTAGACATTTCCAATCCATAGTTTACTGTACGCTTGACGACGAATAGGTGAGATGCCAGGCAATCTGAGTGCAAATAATGACGTCATCTTCGCACTCGAACAGGTAACTCTGGCGAACGAAGACAAACAGGAAGGAAACCTTGGCAACCTTTACCCGTCGGTGGGCTACTTCTACTTCGATGTCTACTACTCTGAGTCGAACTCCAGTCTCTCTCTTGTCATCCCGACGGACGCTGTCGACTGCACTCCTGGAGGGGACATTAGCCTGTCTCTGCCGGTGCTCTTCGTGGCCAACAACATCAACCAGGCTCTGATGAGACTGCAGGTAAGGGTTCTTATCTACACTCCGTCCAGTTGCAGGAAGGAGACAAACTGGCAACTCAGTCCGAGAATGAGTCCCATTAGAGAAATGAAAATAAAGTGATGAAGTTTGCAAAGTTCCATTAAAATAATAATGAATATTGTATATGCATAAATCAAAACCCGTAAACACGTATATTAACTGTCAACCGATTGAAAAAAGCGTCCTGCCAAATCGGAGTAATCCAGACATCGGGATACGTTGCCAATTTTTTTTTGCTTCTGATATTGGACAGATAGAGTATAGTCAAAGAATAACCACTATGTAAATAAAGGTTGTGAAATTTGAGATGAATTTGTTCTTTTAGGTCCTCAGACTTACTAAGAAATAAGTGTCGCATAAAAAACTATTGATTTGTTCTTTGTTACCTTTTGAAATTGCTCATTTTACACATAAAACGTCGTCTGCTAGAACGAATTCTGAAACAGAACCAGTGGCGCCACCGATTCGGTAGAGACGTCATAACATTTTTCTTTCCGTCAGATGTGTATTGTGTGAGAGTAAATGGTGCTTGTTGAGCGTGATAAAAACTGCACGAATAACAAATAGAACAAAGAGAACATCCCCCAAACCAATCTTTCCAGGTGATATCAAGGAGCCAGGTGATACTCGTTGATTCCTTCGTCCAAGACCTGGTGGCTTCGGACTTGGCTCTAGATGAAGACGCGCTCCTGGAACCAGTGAAGGATCTCGACGAAGGATTTGTCAGGGGATCCTTCTCTGTCCAGCTGGAACTCCCGTACTATGCGTCGCCCTCTGTCAATGTGAGTTTTTTTTTATTTTTTTTTATCCGGGTATATCAGATGTAGACTTTTTCTCATTTATTTACGATGTTTTTAATAGTTTTTAATCTTAGGACATACAGAGATACAATCACACATATACATATACATACTATCATGCCTAAGTACAACACCCACACACACACACACACACACACACACACACACACACAACACACACACACACACACACACACACACACACACACACACACACACACACACACACACACACAACATGAACTTATAACCTCTCCGACATATAATATAATATATGTATAGACATAAGTATATACACATTTATACAAACAGTAACCCACATAATTCCTAACCGTCTGAAACTGCACTTCAGGTTTTGGTCTGGTATTCCACCGCGGCCGGCGAGGTGATCGCAGGCTCTGGCACCGTGGAGGTCGGCGCCTGTCTGCCCACCGTCGCCAGCCTGGCATGGGCCCCCGCTGGCCCCGCGGCGCCCAAAGACAACGTTCAGATCACTATCACAGCGTCGCCGAACTCCATCTGCTCGCTGGGTAAACGAGAGAGAGAGGAAGCGAGAGAGAAAGAGAGAGAGAGAGAGAGAGAGAGAGAGAGAGAGAGAGAGAGAGAGAGAGAGAGAGAGAGAGAGAGAGAGAGAGAGAGAGAGAGAAGAGAGAGAGAGAGAGGGGAAGGAAAAAAAAATAAAAAGTTGGAGGTAGCAGTTCACCCGAATATGAAAGGATTTTTTGAATGTAAGAAGTATTCGTGATGAAGCTTGCGATAAATGATATTGCATGATAGTAACCAGTAGATAAGTATATGAAGTTATGTGTCGATAAAGATATATGTGCAGATATGTGCGAAACATTATCGAAATACTATATATACTACATACCACTTAGCCATCATCAACAGCTTTCGTATTACGGCAAAGGAAGCACATGTCAACCCCCTCTCTACGAACGCCGTTTGTTCCCACTTTCAGGCGTCGTTGACAGGAGTGTCGAAATCCTGTCCAGAGGGAAAACGGGCAGCCTGTCAACCGCCGCCGTGTTCCAGCTTTTAACGGCAACCGAACCCTACAAGTGGTTGGGCAGCCAAATTGATAATTATGGTTATTGCTCAGGAGATACCAGTCCACCATTCAATGAAGATGGTGAGTTCACTTTTCCGTTTGTTGTAGATTGTTTGTTGAGAAAGGTTGCCGTGGCTTTTAAGAATCGGATGTAATGTAATTCTTTCCCCTTCCAGTCGTAGAGATAGGAGAAATAGCCAAACGTAGTTACTACTGGATGCCGTATACAACCTCGTACATAGATGCCTTGTCAGCTTTCAATGTGAGTATCTGAGTTTAAAACCGTAATATACATGTTGGAGATTTGTATATCTGATTGTTTCAGGTGGGTGTTCATCTTCACATTGACAAATATTACACTGCAACAAGCTGTGCGAATACTCAAATCACGTTATAAAGGGAAAAAAAATAAATATGTTTTGTTTATGAGCAGGATGCAACCCTACTGGTGGTTTCTGATTTGACAATTGAAACACGACCCTGCGAAGTACCAGGTAATTTTTTTTTAAAGTTTGTATCTGCAAAATATGATAAATTCGCATCGAAATCTACTTGTTCCAAATCGTGCTTTCTTGACGCGTTACACAAAAAAGGCAAAAAATTAACATTACTTCTCTTATTTTACAGATTTCGGTGGATTTGATAGTAAGTATTGATTTTACCGATTTAGTTCTAATTCTATAGTGATTCGGTTGAGGGACGAGTGCTATCAGATTTTAAATTGTAATAAGGGGTATGTTTCGATCTAGATAATAATAAAATAACACACATCCTTGATGAATGAACTATAGATAAAATGCATTCGCATGCCCCCCCCCCCCCCCCCAAAAAGAGAGAGAAGAGAGAGAGAGAGAGAGAGAGAGAGAGAGAGAGAGAGAGAGAGAGAGAGAGAGAGAGAGAGAGAGAGAGAGAGAGAGAGAGAAGAGAGACAGAGACAGATAGAGAAGGAGAGAGATAGATAGATAGAGAGATAGAGAGAGAGAGAGAATGCGAGACAGAAATAAAGAGTCAGAGGATGAGGGGCAAAGATAGAGACAGACAGAAAAAATCGGGGAGATACAAATGGATACATACACTGAGATAAAAGCAGAGTCAGAGATTAAAGAGAGAGAGAAAAAAAATACAGATAGAGATACAAAGGGATAGATAAAGAGAGATGAAGACGAGTGACATATAAAGACAGAGGCGGAGACCTGAAGAGATTTTGAGAGATAATAAATACATACACATAAATATATGTATTTAAACAGTTATTATTATTTTAAATATTGTTATCATCATCACCAGCATCATTATTATTGTTATTATGATTATTTTCATTATGGTAATAATTGTTATCATCATGATTATCATGATGATCATGCTTATCAAAATTATATTTATCGTTATCAAGTGTTATAATTTCTAGTGTTAAGTTCTTCTTATTAATATCAATATCATTATCATTATGATTTTCATTGTCATTATTAATCTTACTGTTATTATTGTCGTTATTATCAGTATCATTATCATTAATTTGATTGATTAGATTCAATCAAATTGTCATTGATACAACTACTCCTATAATAATAACAAAAATGATAACAGTGATTATAATGATAACAATAATAATAATAAAATGATTAAAAATGATAATTCTAATGATAGTTACATGTGTTTTTTTGTTACCATAATTCTCATCATTATTATGATCATATCTGCTTCCTCTGTATCACTTCAGTCCTTAGCACTGTCCAAAAAGTCATTTGAATCCACATTATCATCTTCAACGCTATTGTTATCAAATTCTCTCTTGATATAGTATAATTAATAAGAGTATTTTGATTATCCTCATTATTAGCAGGATAAGCTTCATGAATATTATGCCTATCATTGCTATTGTTATTATCATTATTATTATTATTATTATTATATTAGTAATACCTGCTATAAAACTGTTCATTGACATATTATTGCTATCGTATCATTAGTATCATCTTCATAATCTTTATCATAATTAGGGTTTATCTTTATCACCGATATATTCATATCAATCACTTACATATTCATGGTTTAAAATGCATACAATTAATTGATTTAATCTTAATAGTAATACGATTTGATTTTTTTGTGTGGTAAGTATAGACTGTACACATTGTTGTTCATGCTCAACCTCTTTGTTTGTATTGCGTGTACGGGGCGTGACTTGCTCTGTCCAATCTCCTGAAAAGGAAAACTGGCAACTCACCCAGAATTCTGAAGCACTCCGATTTGCCAAATCTCTATCAGGAAAAAAAATATAAAGTAGTAAGTGTAAGCTAATAGCAATAAGACAGAATTGGAGTACTTCAAAGTTTAAGCTGAGTTGAACACACTATTGTAGTAAAGGGAGGTAGGGTTTGCCCCCCCCCGATAAAAAGAGATGTGAGAAAATATAGAAATGTAAGATTTAAAAAAAATATATGTATATAATAAGTAGAAAAAATAACAAACAACAAACTCTGGTAAGACGTTGATCCTTTCATTATATCTTCTTTGTTCACTGCACCTTTTGGGTGTATTCGTGTGCGTGAATGAGTGTGAGTTTTTGAGTGTGCGTGCATGTCCGTGTACGTGTATGATTTCTTGTGCTCATAATGTAGATAATGAACAGCAATTCTTAAAAGTCATCTACACTCGCTGCTTCTAGTGTATGGCGGAGGTGCAGTCTATGCAGCCGGACCTCTGCCTGGGGGAATCCCAGATGCAGATGGCGCTATAGAAGAAGATGACAGCGGGGCAGGTGATGAAATAAAGGAAGCGGAAGAACAACAAGAACCTAGGGCATACTTCCCTGAGACGTGGCTCTGGGACATCTACGAGATCGGGTAGGCTGTTGGAAGAATCGCGATGCCTGGGTTGCTTTTGTTCCTGTTTCCGCGTTTTCCCTAATCACCCTCTGACCTCTTATGGAACCCTAAAGTGATCAATAATCGAAAAAGAATATTTTTCTAATGAAATTAATTTTGTCAGATGCACATCAAAAACACTGCTGTACTTATAGAATTGGCAGTTCTCA